GAGTTGTTCACGGAAACTGTATAAATGTGGAGTGATTTACAAATAAAGACGTATTATTGGAACATACAGGCTGTTTCATTTTGGATATTTTTGGGACGCTATACACCGGGGCTACCGCTTTTACCAACAGAAGGAATTTCTTTTGTATTGTTCGATCAATGTATCAATAATAATAGCATATTTATTATTTAAAAAAATCTTAAGGCTCCCAACAATTACGTTCGTTGCACGTCGAAACTCTATACTACTGTACATCTATTGCTAATTAAAAGCTCTGTGAACAATACTACTGTTTAAATAACGGGATTTTTGATTGCTTATTTTAAATAATTATTCATATAGACCACTTTATTTCTTATATAAACAATTGGCTCGTTTTAGTCCCTCCATAAAAAATATACTATTTTCTACTCCTGTGTAGTCTGTAATTATAATTTCCTAAATCACATTACAAAGGCGCTATTTTTAGTTCTGAACCAAAATTCTATTGTCTATTTTACTGGCGACTGAACCTTGGAGGAAGGACAGTACTAATTAAAAGAGTCTCCTTAAACGCGTCACTATGTCCCTGAATGGAATAATTTTTCTATATTTGCGAAATTCTTACAGTAGATTGTACAACAAGTGCATAAAACGCGTCATTTTACCCGAGACACAAGTACTGTTACTGCCAACCACAATTTTATTAGAAGACTGAAAAGAGCAGATGTGCTGTGCAATTAAGGGGAGATAAGGCAGTGGTCTTAATCTTCTGTAATGCCCTATATTTTCCAACTCATCTGATTAAAGTCTGGTGGACTGATTGCAGGTTTCAAGTACCCGAAACAAGGATACTTGAGTCGAGGGTAAAATGGTGGTGAGGGTTTTATGAACGAGTTATACACTCTGCTTTTGACTTCGATTGCAAGGAAATTAAACAGCAATATTACAAATAAACAATTATTTAATTAAAATTGAATGTAAAATCACAACATTGAGACATACTTAATGTGATGGTTTTTTTATTTTATGCACTAGAGCATAAAATCCTATTTTATGCAGCCTAGACCGCTGGGTCTATCCTCCTCCCTCTTAAAGTTCGTATTTATGCTGATAAATACGAACTTTAAGAGGATGCGAAGTGAAAAATTATTTTATTAAATAATGTCTGGAAATGTTACATAACAGGTACAAAGGCGTAAACATTTGGCAAAAAATAACTATTTAAAAATAATATACAATATTTAAATACGACGCTCCTCAAACGCTCTACTGCCTCCGGGTACTTGATCAATCACGGACACTTCTATCTCTTTACTTTTTGTTTTGTAGGTTTGTAGCGCTTGTTTGGCATTCCTTTGAGTTTGTTGCCGTACTCTGTTTAACAAAATATTCCTTAAATTGACTGTGTTTCATTATTTTAATTTACTCGGAGCAAAAGTATCTAAATCTCGTACTAATTATTTATACCACTCAGCAAAGCCTCGTGGTCTAAACACCTAAAAGAACTCGACTTTAAGAATCCTTGTTATGCAACCTTCTTCATCGTCATTTCGCCTTTCTCTCCTTTGCTCTCGTTCCTGGACCCCGATTCAGAACTCTTCGATATTTTAACCGAATCTTTTATATATATTTTTAAGACTTTAAAGGCTTAAAATATAGGAATGCATTAAAATAAATTAATAAAATTGAACAAAATCCAGACTTTATTTAAAAGAATAAGAAATTTCTATATTATATTCTTGTTTTATAAACAATCAGACGTTCGGTAACTTTTTGATAACTGGTTTCTAAATAACGTTTGTAGCCTTTGCCGGTCTAGAAGTTCGAGTAAACGTACGGGTGTGACGTCATTTCGGTTCGGTTTCGTATACGACAGTTTGACGTTCGATTCGGTTATTGTAATAATAACCTAACTTCAGTACAGAGTACTAAAAAAAACCGGCCTCAAAAGTCATTCATAGTTTACCACCCTTAAAGGTCGAATATTTTCTACAAATTTAAATGGGACCACTTCTGAGGTATCCTCTTTCCAACATTAAAGAATCATTAAAACCGGTTTACAAATGGCGGCGTTATCGCGTAACATACTTAAAAAAAACACATTCGAATTGCGACCCTCCCCCTTTTTTTAAAGTCTGTTAAAAATGAAAGGAAATCGTGTAAAAATGAAAAGGAATCCTACGATAACAAATTGAATCGGTCGACAACAGACCATCGTAAGGTTCTGAATCGACCTGCTGGCCACTTATTTTCAAATTTTGAATCGTTCTTTAATTCCTTTGCCTCGTCATCCTCACTTTGTTTCCCTCCGTTCTATTCTCATTCTCAATTTCTGCTTAATCCCTGAAGCGAGCACGTCTTTTCTGCTAATTTTGATCCTATTACCAGTTCCCATCCTAAGCCATGTACCAATTTTTAACCGACTTCAAAAACAGGAGGAGGTTCTCAATTTGACTGTTTTTTTTTAATGTGTGTTACGCGATAACTTCGGTATTTGTGAACCGATTTTCATGACTCTTTTTTTGTTGGAAAGTGAGTACCCTCCATAGTGGTCCCATTTCATTTTGAAGAAAATCATCCACCTCTAAGGGTGGCTGATCAAGCATGAACATTCATTTTTATAAATAGAGCCTAAATTTTACTGAAGCAGCAATTATTTTAATGGTTGGTTTTGCTATTCCTTGAGTAGTGAGAACCGATTTTTATTATCTCCTGCGTCAAGTCCTGTATAGTGGCGAACTTGGGGATATTGCAATAAAACTTGGCAAATAGATATAATTCCACGTACTTTTGAGGTCGGTTGTTTTAGTAATCTGTACTGAGATTATAATACAACCTAAACCTAGTAATATTTGTATAATTCGGCCCTTTCTGGGTATGTTCTTTAATATTTTAATCTGTTTTTGATACCTTTTTTTGTTACCTTTAGCCTTTCTTTTTTCTTTCGCCTAAACTTATACAATAAATTCTTGGACCAAGTGATCTATTATCATTGCTCCCTATTGGCGGTTTGCAACCTTTTCAAAACTATTTTTAAATGTCGAAATATGTAAATAATTCTAGCCAAAATATTAGGAAGTTTCACATAAACACTGAGGAATCACTTCAATTAATTATATTTATTATCATTGATTCAATAAATCAAAAACAGGAATGAGAATTAATTATGTTCAAAGAATAAGGTTATATTGTAGGTAGGTAATTTAAAATTTTTTCTGCGTGTTACTACGCAGAACACAGTCCATGTTATTTTTTAATCTGTTGAACTGTTTGAGTAGATAAAGAAAGTTAATTACACAAATGTATTTATTTGTTCTTTAAAAACTAAACATGCCAAAGGGCCTAAAGATAATGGCTGTATTACAGAGTAGGTAAATTAATAAGTAAATATAATTTTCTAATTAGAAAAATATAAAATCTTTATCTAAATTTCGCGAAAAGTACAGCTTACATCTGTGGCAATAAGATTATTTTTCCACTATTCCGATTGTTGCCTGGTCTAATATTGAATTAAACAAATTGTATGTCGTAATAGAGAAGCGGGTAATTTGATTTTTGTACAACAAATTAGAATGTCAAGCAACGCCTTTAAACATAAATTTTCCGATACACTTTATGTTGAGTATAAAATTGTCTCTGCCTTTACGCTTTGAAAAATATGTTGTTTTTTTGTTGACACGTGGATAAAATGGCGTTATTTGTAAAAACTAATAATAAAGTACTTATTGTACGAAAAGATTTATTTCACTTATAGAAGAGCACCCAATAATGGTTATGGGCAGAAAATGAGTGCTCAGGTGAGTATAAATCATCTCCCACAGTTACGTGGTGATAATTATGTAGCATGGAAATTTCGAGTGCGCGCCATTTTGAAAAAGAAAGCTCTGCACGTTTTAGACAACAATCATGCAGAAATTAAAGCGGATACCGATTTAGTAAAATGCAACGCATTTGCAAAATCCACGATTATACAATGTATTACTGACAAACATTTGCATCATTTACAAGACGCCCTGACAGCTAGAGAAATGTTCGAAAATTTGGATAGTATCTTCCAGAGGAAAACTGTTTTTACCAAACTTACTGTCAGAAAAAAATTGTTAGCATTAAAACTGTTGAACAACCAAAAATTTTCAAGTCTTTGACCAGATAATACGAGAACTCGAGAGTTTAGACTCAAAAATTTCCGAAGAAGACAAAATATGCCATTTATTGCTATCTCTAAATGAAGAATATGAATATGTAACTACAGCGATTGAGACATTAAATACCAATATAAACTTGGAACTTGTCAAAGCAAGATTGTTGGATGTGGAACTAAAAATTAAAAACAAAACGAGTACAGAAATGTCCGTTAAAGCTAACTCACATTCAAACAATGACAGTTACAGTAACTATAGAACAAATAACCATTACAATAGGCGTATAAGAGGAAATCGTTTCCAACAAGGACGTGGTCAGCCAGATCACTCAGCATTTAGTTTTATAGGTTTGAGTCTAATTCAGGCTCATATTGATTATGAACATTATTTTATATTGGATTCTGGTGCTACTTACAGTATGGTTAATTCTAAATTTGAAAGCGAGATGACAAAGGTGACAGTTCTCCCTCATACAATTAAAATTCACATAGCTAATGGTGAAGTTTTATCTGCAAACAAGAAAGGTTTATTAAAAGGAATATCAAATGGCCATGAAACGGCCATGGCCATGGAAGCGATTATTGTGGACAAATTATTGTCTATATAGATTTTAAGACTTTCGTGGTTATTCACTAAATGATTATCACTAGTAACAGGTTTCAAAACACCTCGAGTTCAGTTTCGCGTGTGGATACAGTAAGTGTGGTTTGTGTGAAAAAAGTGAGTGACAATGGTAACGCCACAACAAATCGCGATGAAGGTAGTCGTCGACAGCGCAAGAGGGTAGACAGATATGTCTGCCCATAAAGCTGTCATCTGCCGCCGTCCAGTCAACCCGTGACCATGGAGCGTGCAACCGTTCCGAAATATCGGGAAAATAAAAAGAAGTTATACCGTGGTAAGAAACCTGTTACTAGTGATAATCAAATTATTGTCTGTAAACGAGATAATTAAGAAGGGACACAATGTCAACTTTAACTTGTTAAAAGTTAATCTATAATTGATTGTTAATGTTTTGTAATGTTATGTAATATCAAAGCGCGGTGGAGTGTTCAGTATAAAATTGTCTCTGCCTTTACGCTTTGAAAAATACGTTGTTTTTATTGTTGACACGTGAAGATAAAATGGCATTATTTGTTTAAACTAATAGCAAAACACTTATTGTACGAAAATATTTATTTCATTTATACAAGAGCACTCAACAATTTAATGTACACACGTCAGCACATCAAGCTACGCATTGACGTATCTTGTTCCGTAGCAATGGAGGCGATTTTCGAACAAAAATGTGTGCAAAAAAGTCTGATGTGCCGTTGTCCGTACATAAGTTTTTGTTTTCAAAGACTTAACTTAGACCATTACTGCGCTCAAGCTACGGAGATATCCCAGTAACTAATTAAAACTGAGACAAGTGTCTAGACAAACTAAGAAATCCAGAATAAACAAATCGAATATTTTTACTTTTTAAATGTGTTAGACTGAAAAACGACGGCATATTTTATTAAAGTCTTCATTGCTTGTATAAACATCAAATCAGCGTCTCTAATATGGTTTCATATAATTTCTGTACACGAGCAAGATCTGTGTATTCTTGCAAAATTAATTAAGTGCGCAAGTACGTAGGTGCTGACGCGTGGAACGTGAACTTTAGACGCACGTTATATGGTTTTGAATTGCCGCTGCCGCACTCGGATCGTTAAAATGTTTTCACGAAGTTATAACGAG